TATAATGACTCCCTTTGTATTTTTTATTTATTCATTGATGGTTCTTGGGACAGGATCCAGGGTCTTGAGTATGCTAAGCAGGAAATCTACCAAGGGGTCACATCCAATTATAGTAAATAGACATAGCAGAAGTTTACCCAGTCTTAAAGAAAATTAAAAGAGCTGGTAATTATTATCTGAAGTATCCCAGATTTAGAAAGACAAATATTGCATGTCTTCTCTTGTGTAGATTCTGGTTTGTTTTGTGTGTGTGTCTGTGTCTGTGTGTGTGTGTGTGTGTGTGTGTGTTTGTGTGTGTGTCTGTCTGTCTGTCTGTCTGTCTGTCTTATGATGAGGGAATATAGACTATAGGTCATGATAATGGAAAGGGGACCAGGACAGAGCAAAAAAGAGGCCCTAAGGGAGAGCTGAATAAGGGGACAAGGAAAGATAAGATAAAAATAAAGTAACAGAACACATGACACAAAGCCAGAGGGGGACAAAGGAAGGAGGGAGGGGCCAGCAGAAAGGGGACTGGCAGTTGGGAGAAGGAAGTCAGGGAAAACCATCTACAGGAACAAAGCAAATGAAAGCCCTGTAGTGAAACCCATTACTTCTCACATAACTTTTTATAACTAATAAAAAAATAAAAAGTTCCTGAGCCAACAAAATGACTCAGTGAGTAAAGGCCTTTGTGGCCAACCTGATGGCCCAAATGATCTCCCTAAAGCCCACAGGGGATATGGAGAGATCTGGCTCCTGCAAGTTATCCTCTGACCTCTATACACAGTGTGGCACATGTGCCCATACACATACAGGCACATGCACATGCAAACACTCATACAAAAGTAAAGATACACTTTATAATAAAACAAAAACACATTTTTCCCATCTTGTCCACATCTAAGTGTCACAAAAGCACATTCACGGTGCTAAACAGTTATCATCACCATCCGTCTCCACAGCTTGCTATCTTCAAAAGTTGAACTCTGTTCTCGGTAAGCACTGACACCCCACCCCCATCCTCTCAGCCCCTGACACCCAATCTCGCTTTCTGTTTCTGTAGGTCTGAGGAGTCCAGGAAACGCCTAGAAGTAATCCTACAATGGCTGTCCTAGGTCTGGTTCATGCACTCAACCCATTCAACCGATGTACTATGTTCAAGGGCCATCAGGGTTAAAAGATGGATTCCTTCCTTTCCAGTGATGTCCTTTACTTTGTTTTAGTTTTATTTTTACTAATTTACTTTTAACCATGCTAGGATTCAGGGGATCAAATCCAAGTGCATGCTAGGCAAGTGATTTACCACAAATCCAGACACATACTAGGTGTGTGATTGCCTAAGGCTGTCTGCAGACATTTGGTCCTTCCATTGAGGCTAATTTGCAGCCCCTATGGGGTGGGAGAAAGGACAGAAAAAAATGGTTTGAGGGAACATGAAAGTGAGCTCTGAGGACACTGTGAACTGAGGCTGGAAAGCAAGACCCAGGGTTCTAGAAGAGACTGTAGCCGGTAGCCCATTCAGAGTATGTGGGTCTCACTGGAGGATCTGGGACCTAAATTTGATCTTGGCTGCCTCTTGAACTGGTGGATGATCCATGTGTTCTACAACCTCACTATAATTGTTTACCAGTTCTAGAAATGTTTTTGTTGTCTGGTATTTTATACATACATACATACATACATATTATATAAACAGATGCAGCATTACTTTCTTCCCAGGCTATGTACTTTTCGTTTTCTTGTCCTATTTTACAGACTTAGGACTTCTAGTACAACACCAAAAGGAGTGTGAGAGACAAACCTTGTCTCGTTCTCAGTTTTATAGGGAATGCATCAATTTTGTCACCAATAAGTGCATTGTTAACTGTAGGTGTTTTACAGATACTCTTCACCAAATTGAGGACCTTCAATTTCATTCTTACTCTACTAAGTTTTTTCTTTGTTTGTTTTTTTTTTTGTTTGTTTTTGTTTTGTTTTGTTTTTGAAACAGGGTCTCATTATGTAGTGCTGACTAGCCTAGAACTCACTTATGAAAACTAAGGTGGCCTCAAACTCAAAGAGATCTATCTACCTGCCCCTGCCTAGCAAGTGCTAGAATTAGAGACATGAATCATTAGGCCTGGTCCTTTACTAAGGGTTTGTTTGTTTATTTGCTTTCAAGTCAAGAACAATTTAAAAATGCCCTTTGTTTTGGACAGAGTTTTGCTATGTAGCCCAGGCTGGCCTCAAACTTTTATTTTTTAGTTCCCTGAGATTTGAGACACACTTCCAGCTTCAAACCCTCTCCTGCCTCTACCGACATGATCATGTAACATGATGGACTGCTTTAACAGAGATCTGAATGTTAAAGCAGGTTTTGTTGCCAGAAACAAATCCCACTTGGATGTGATATAACTTTATTTTATACAAGGTTGACTTGTTGGCACTTAATGGAAGACTATTATGTCTGTGTTCCTAAGAGATCCTAGTTACAGTTTTCTTGTCTTGGGATCTCTGTTAGGTTTTCATATTAAGACATTACTGGCTTTACCAGGTAACTAAGGACATATTTCCCCTCTAATACATAGAAAATTCTCATCCACTTCTTTAAATATTAGTCAGAATTCATCAGAGAAACAGAGACTATTCTTATGTTTAGAAAGTTACAAGGTATTGACTCAACTAATTTATCAATAGATATAGGTAAGAGCCAGCTCAAAATAGCTCTCAGAACTCACCCCCAGTGCCATACCTCACCCTTCAAGGCCACGGCTCCTTAATCTTGCCCAAACAGGACCACCAACTGGAGACCAAGAATTCAAATCCACCAGTTAAGGCTATTTCACTTATTGATTTCTTGTACGAGTTTTGGAAGATTTTATTTTTCAAGAAGCTGGTACATAGCTGAGCTTGGAGGTATGTGTCTTTAATTCCAGCACTTAGGAGGCAAAGGCAGATAGAACTCTTGAGTTCAATGCCAGCCTGATCTACATAGCAAGTTGTAAGCCAACCAAGGCTCATATGAGACCCTGTCTCAAAACAATCAATAGACTGGTACATTTGGACAGAGGTTTTCTCAGAGTGTTCCTTGATTATTCTTTAATTCATGGAATCAGTTGTGATGGACTGTCTCCAGTTCTAATATTAGTAATTAATATTTTATCTCCTTTTTTTCCTTTGTTCAGTTAGGATTTTCTAATACTTATTCTTCCCAAAGAACCAGCTTGGATTTTTCTTAAGTTCTTACTGTCAGTTTCATTGAGTTCTATTCTGATTTTTATTTTTGTATTTTTCCCTAATGACTTTGAATTTAACTTGCCTAGTTTCTTTTGAAAAAAATATTATTACTTTATGTGTATAGACGAATATACATGTCTGTTCATCATATTCGTGCCTGGTGCTAACGAGGTTGGGAGAAGGTGTCAGATCCCCTGGAAATGATTCAAAGTCTCTGCACAGCTGCTATCAGCATCCCTGAAAGCACATGGGCCACCAAGTACAGAGGGGCCCTCTAAAGCAAGTGGGGAAATCTAGTCACAGCCTTGGAGTCCTAAGTCCCACACCTCCTGTAAAGTTGCCCAAAAGCCAAAGCAATGCTGACCTTCAGTCTCAGCACTGTAGTCATCTCCCTGGCAACAGGAGAATGATGTCTGGAGGACAGTGTTGAGGGCTGGTGAAGGTGAACTAAGTGAGAGTTAGAAACCAGCATTCTTGGAAGACCAGAAAACACAACTTCTAAGGAGCAGTGTGGAGAAAGCCACCCGGGGAATGTCACCATTACATTTCATTATCTTGTGGGTTATCATGCCCCCCCCTTTTAACATGGGTTCTGAAGACTTAAACTCTGGTCCTCAAACTTATACAGGTCTGGGGCTTACACAGAAAGTGCTTTACCGGCTGAGCCATCTCCCCAGACCCTACACTTCAAACCATGTGACAGAAGTACTATCAATGTTTCTTTTTTGTTGTTGTTTTGTTTTGTTTTGTTCTTTGAGACAGGGTTCTCTGTATAACAGCCTGGACTGACCTGGAACTCGCTTTGCAAACCAGGCTGGCCTCAAACTCACAGAGATCCACCTGCCTCTGCCTCCTGAGTGCTGGGATTAAAGGCATGTGTTGTACATCTGGTGCAACAAAAACTCTCAAGAGCTGTCTGTCTCTCCAGGCTTCCCACTGTTAAACATTTATTGTTGGGGGCATTCATTCCACAGCTTAGGGGTGGAGTTTGTTCTCTCCTTCCACCTTTATGTAATGGGTTCCAGGGATGAGACTCAGGTTGTCAGGCAGGCACTAGCCTGAGAAGCCACCTCACTGGCCCTAGCTTTGTATTGTCTACCTTCAATAATAACAACAGAGTGACAAAGCAAACTTATTTTCAAGAATTTATAGAAAAAGGTATGCATTAAAGAGTGGCACAGCTTTGCCTGTGTGAACTGTATCTTCAAGGACTGTAATTCAGTCCACTACAAACTCCTGCACTCAGATACTGTGATAACTTTGCCATATGGAGGTATGCACACATGCTTACTCACACGTCCATCCTCCACAGACAGTGGGACTCCACAAGCCTGTAGTGCCTTGCAGGTCCTAAGGTCAGAAACATCCCATCTCTGCCCCTTAGCTGGGTGTGGGAGGATTAACTGGCTGCAGAGCTCAGGGCCTGGCTCCCCTCTTCCACTGGTGAGAACCTTTCCACAAAGCCCTGCCCACACATTCCCCCTTTGACTTTTGCACCCTGTCTGCAAAATTTAAGCCACCTAAGGCCATTTCTAAAAACCTAATTGTGACCCATCCACTTAGTCTGAATCACTTTCTCCCAGCTGCTTGGGATGCCACACCCAGTAGGAGGAGTATTGATGGAATAAAATAGAAGAAAACCAAAGGTCACTAGGTATAGTACTTAAATGTGAACTATGCTTAAGTGTGGGAGCCTTGTGACTGTCATCAAGACTCTAGCTGAGCTGGAATGGACAAGGCTGAGCAACCCCACCAGTCCCAGGATGAGACCAGTTTAGCTGGGGAAGGATCGCCTCTGCTCCCTACCTCCCTCCACCTCTGAGCATTAGTGACAAGACTCCATGGCTGTGGCTGGGGCCTCCTGCTCCAGGTGAGTGTGACTTCCAGGGATAACCTTCAAGCTAAATGGGCTCACCTCTCCAGCCTGTCCTGGGCTGCCAATTTTCTATGCCCCTCTAAGCCAGAGCATTTATGAGTCTGCTCCCCACAAAGGACTCAGCCCCTGGTGCAGGCGCTCCAGAAAGGATTCACCGAAATGTGCTATGATCTTGGGGTGGAGAATTCAGGAACCCCACCAGGGCCTGGCCTGTATGCTCCCTGTTCCTGAGGCAAGCCGTGCTAGGACAGCTCTATTAGTAAGGATCTTAAATGGCTTTATCTGGTGTGGTCAGGTATGTGAAAGAAATGATGCAGAAGGCTAGCTGTGGAGTGATCTACTTCACCACAAGCAGTTAGGAATTAGAGGTGTATTGTCCTGGGCCCCCATGTGGAGAATGTGAGAGGTGTGACCCAGGGTGCTTTGGAGGTTCTTGTGCAGATCTCATCAGTAATATCCCTGCCCATCCCCAGCTCGGACACGGACGCGTTGGCACGGGAGCTGCTTCTGGTCGCACTAGAGGACTTGAGCCAGGAGCAGCTGAAACGCTTTCGCCACAAGCTGCGGGACGCGCCCCTTGATGGCCGGAGCATCCCATGGGGGCGACTGGAGAACTCAGACCCTGTGGACCTCGTGGACAAGCTGACCCAGTTCTATGGGTCAGAGCCAGCCGTGGACGTGACCCGAAAGATCCTGAAGAAGGCAGATGCTCGAGATGTGGCAATTCGGCTCAAGGCGCAGCAGCAGCAGCGTAAGCTGGGTGTAGTAGAATGGGGTGGAATCGGCTGACTCGGCCTGCTCTGGAGAAGATTTATTTACTTTGTCCACTCCACCACAGACAGAGGCTATGGTTCTCCCCTTCCCTTTCCCAGAAACCAGCCAATAATTTCTTGCACAAGGGGGCAGTTGCAGAGGCTCCCAGGGAAATGCCTTGTTTATCCTCATGCTCAGTGAGCCTCATGTCGGGTTTTCCTTCCAGGGCTCGGCTCCAGCTTAGTAGTTGTCTCCTTGTCAGGTAAGTTCCGCTGGGCACACAAGCAAGAGGTCCTATTTATTGGGCTCCTCACCGAGCCGGTTTCCTGGTGGTGTGTGGTGTGGACGGGGTGGGGGTGGGGGTGGGGGATGGGGTGGGGTCCTTGGATGTGAGAGAGCTGGAGGAGGAAACCATGGCACAATAAAGGAAAGTGAAGCCAGATTTAGACAGGAGGGGCATTGGTTCCAGGGTGCTGGCAAGCGCGTCCCCACCTTGCATGGTCTCACACCTTACAGAGTACAAGAAGAAATACCGTGAGCACGTGCTGCTACAGCACGCTAAAGTGAAGGAGAGGAACGCACGCTCGGTGAAGATCAACAAGCGCTTCACCAAGCTGCTCATCGCACCTGGGAGCGGCGCGGTGGAGGATGAGCTGCTGGGGCCGGCGGAAGAGCCCCAGGCTGAGCGTGCGAGGCGCTCAGACACGCACACCTTTAATAAGCTCTTCCGGGGAGATGAGGAGGGCCTGCGGCCGCTGACCGTAGTACTGCAGGGCCCGGCGGGCATTGGCAAGACCATGGCCGCCAAGAAAATCCTCTACGACTGGGCAGCAGGCAAGCTATACCACGGCCAGGTGGACTTCGCCTTCTTCATGCCTTGCGGCGAGCTACTGGAGAGGCCCGGTACGCGCAGCTTGGCAGACCTGATCTTGGATCAGTGCCCGGACCGCACGGCACCGGTGCGGCAAATACTAGCACATCCCCAGCGCCTACTGTTTATCCTGGACGGTGCAGATGAGCTGCCTGCCTTAGCAGCCTCGGAGGCAGCGCCCTGCACAGACCCTTTCGAGGCTACGAGTGGCTTGAGAGTGCTGAGCGGACTGCTGAGCCAGGAGCTGCTGCCCTTGGCTCGCTTGCTGGTGACTACGCGCAATGTCGCTGCTGGGAGGCTGCAAGGCAAACTGTGCTCCCCACAGTGCGCAGAAGTGCGTGGCTTCTCAGACAAAGACAAGAAGAAATATTTCTTCAAGTTCTTCCGGGACGAGAGGAAGGCGGAGCGCGCTTACCGCTTCGTGAAAGAGAATGAGACACTGTTTGCACTGTGCTTTGTGCCCTTCGTGTGCTGGATCGTGTGCACCGTGCTGCAACAGCAACTGGAGCTGGGAAAGGATCTGTCTCGCACCTCCAAGACCACTACATCTGTGTACCTGCTCTTCATCGCCAGCATGCTGAAATCTGCAGGCACTAATGGGCCACGGGTGCAAGGAGAACTGTGCACACTGTGCCGCCTGGCCCGCGAAGGCATCTTAAAGCATCAAGCACAGTTCTCAGAAAATGACCTGGAGCAGTTGAAGCTTCAGGGCTCCCAAGTTCAGACACTATTTCTCAGCAAGAAGGAACTGCCGGGTGTGCTAGAAAAGGAGGTCACCTACCAGTTTATTGACCAGAGTTTCCAGGAGTTTTTGGCTGCATTGTCATACCTATTGGAGACTGAGGGGGCACCTGCAAGAGGTGTGCAGATGCTCCTGAACTCGAACTCAGAGTTGCGTGGTCATCTTGCACTGACCACTCGCTTCCTCTTTGGACTGCTGAGTGCAGAGCGTATTCGTGACATTGAACGTCATTTTGGCTGTGTGGTACCAGAGCGTGTGAAACAGGACACCCTGCGGTGGGTACAAGGACAGGGCCACCCCAAGGTGGCACCAGTAGGGGCAGAAAAGAATGATGAACTGAAGGACACTGAGGAACCAGAGGAGGAGGAGGAAGACGACGAAGACGATGACCTCGACTTTGGACTGGAGCTTTTGTACTGCCTGTATGAGACACAAGAGGATGCTTTTGTTCGCCAGGCTCTCAGCAGCCTTCCAGAAATGGTCCTGGAGCGAGTTCGACTCACCCGCATGGACATTGAGGTCCTGAGCTACTGCGTGCAATGCTGCCCGGCTGGTCAGGCTCTGAGACTGGTCAACTGTAGGCTGGCAGAGGCAAAGGAGAAGAAGAAAAAGAAGAGTCTGGTGAAGAGACTGAAGGGGTGAGTCTAGAGGGCAAGGTTGTCTTCACCAGTGCAACTTGCACCCATGCCCACTTGTCCACACCTGATAACCCTTATGGCAGGGAGGACTTTAGGACTGCTTGATCCACCCCTTGCAAGGCAACTGTCCTCTTCTTCCCCCAGTTGTCTCTCGTTACACCCACTTTTAGCCATGAAGATCAAGGCAACTCTCCCAGCATAGCCAACATAGTTCCATGAAGGGCCTAGGCCCCTCCTTGATGCACTGTCTCATACATTCTGGAGCATGTCATGTCCTCTGTGTGCTGAGCCTTGTACCTGCTGTTTCCTCCACTCCAACACTATTTGCCGTCTATCTTCAAAGTCTATCCTGGCTCTACCACTTGGGTTCAAACTGCTGACCCCATAATACCACCACTGACCACACTATTCTGCATCCTTCTCCCACCCAGCCTCCATCAGATCCTAGGTTCCCACACAGACATAGACCTTTACTTTCTTTGAACTCAGTTCTATTCAATAACCATTCCAAGACTTGCCTGCCATCTGTTGAAAGTATAAGCCAGGATAATGGCAGGACCTGGTCCTGGGGACCTGAAGGCCTACTCTTGGGTTTTGTTCAAGTTTGTTAGGGGAGGGGATGCAAGGGATGTGGGATAAGTGGCAGAGAAAGTTCTAGAATTCTAGACCCTAGGTAGGAAAAGTTGAGTACTTTCTAGGAAGGCTTGGAAGAAGCACTATGGCCGTCAACCTTGTTCTTTCTCTTTCTGCAGTTCTCAGAACACCACAAAACAACCCCCAGTCTCCCTGTTGCGCCCCCTCTGTGAGGCCATGACTGCCCAACAATGTGGTCTTCATATTCTGATGTGAGTCACCATGCCTCAGCATGGAGGGGATTCAAGCCAGGTGTCCTGTACAGAGACAGAATTTACCTTTCTGGGGCAGGCTGAGGACATAGCCTGAGAGCCTAACCAGGTTCCATTGCTATTAAGTGCTGCCAGAGAAAGGCTGGTGCTAGGCTCTGTGGGAAACAGTGAAGCACAGTCCGTGGGGAGAGACAAAGAAAGCAACAGCGTTTTCCTTTTGAAGGAAATTCCTGAGTGCCGTTGGAGCCAACTGTGCCATCTCTGCAGGAAAGTGTTCAGAGCAGTTGGCAGCTGATGCATCTGCCTCTCTGTGCCCTTGAGCTACTCAGTCTGCCCATGCTTTCATTTCCTCCCTGTAAGATAAAGCAATTGAGGACTAGAGAGATAGCTCAGTGGTTAAGAGCACTGGCTGCTCTTCCAGAGGACCTGTGTTCAATTCCCAGCAACCACATGGTGGCTCACAACCATCTATGATGAGATCCAGTTACCTTGTCTGGCCTGCAGGCATACCTGCAAACAGAACACTATATACATAATAAATAAATCTTTTTTAAAAAGAATATAAGTGTGTATTCAAAAACAAAACAAAACAGCCAATCCAGAGGATTGGGATTGGTGTAAGATTTCCTGAGGCTCCGTGGGTAAAGTTCTTAGACTATGATAGGTTTCCTATTACTGTTAACTATCACTGTTGAGCAGAGAGTAAGGAAATTTCTAGGAACTAATCGTGACAGGCTATGGTGAAGAAGATAATCTGCCATCCATTAATAGAGGTGGGGTGGAAAACTGGCTTTGTGGGGGTCAGGGTCCAGCAATCTCATAATAAAACAAAAGAAGCCAAAAAGATAATCACCTTTGGCCCAGAAATTCTACCAGACAACTGAGTACAAGAAGGTGCCCACCTCATGGTTTATAATATGAAAGATCAGAAACATCAGAGCTTCGGCTATTGGGGATGATGGCCCTGTCTGAGCCTGAAGGGTAATTATGAAAAGCTGTTAAAAAAAAAAAAAAAAAAAAAGACTGGAGCTGACCTTCTGCTTACACAGGTGAGCAACCTTGGGGAGACAGGCTTAATACCATAGTAAGGATATAGAGTGTGGAAATTGTGTGCCTACCATCAGCATAATAAAATATAACTGAACATGGGGCTACCAGGGAGTGGGGTAGCTGGTTCAGTTGGAGGTGGGAACGTGGTCAGGGGCTTACTGACAAATCTACGTGCTTTTTGACCACAGCTTGTCACACTGCAAACTCCTTGATAGTGTTTGTCGAGACCTCTCTGAGGCCCTGAAGCTAGCTCCTGCCCTAAGGGAGCTGGCCCTCCTCCAGAGCCGGATCACTGAGACAGGCCTGCGTTTATTGAGTGAAGGACTAGCTTGGCCCAAGTGCCAGGTGCAGACACTCAGGTGAGGCCTGGTTTTGGAGGGATGGAGGGAGAGGATCCTACCTCCTGCAACCTCTGAGGTAAGCTCTTCCCACAGGATACAGCTACCTAACCTCCAAGAAGCAATCCAATACCTGGTCATCGTGCTCCAGCGGAGCCTGGTCCTGACCACCCTGGATCTCAGTGGCTGTCAGCTGCTTGGCTACATGGTGGACTGCCTGTGTTCAGCCCTGAAGCACCCTACATGCTGCCTAAAGACACTCAGGTGAAGACGGGGAGGGATGGTGCTGAGGACACAGCCTATCAACCCTAAGTTAGAGTAGGTGCCTAGGTACCTCTCTGAGATCAAGCTCACACGCAGATCTGGGTGCCCAGCCTACAAAGACTAGCCTTCTATGGTCCTATGCAACGCTCTGGATCTCAAACAAACATCCAAAGCCTGTGGAAACAGTCTGGGCCAATGAGCCTAACCGTCATCTATAGTCCCTCAAAGGCCCTCAACTTTTATTAGATCCCAACACTTCTGGTGCTCATGTTTGTTACAGCTAAGCAGATGCTCCAAGCACTCCACTCTCACTTGGGCTCTTCCCCCAGATGATTGACCCTTGACCCTAATTGACCCTTGTCCCTTCTGTCTTATGCATGTGGCTGCAGTCTGACCTCTGTGGAGCTGAGTGAAGTGTCACTGAGGGAGCTTCAAACTGTGAAGGCATCGAAGCCAGACCTGACCATCCTACATTCAAAACTAGGCACACATCCGCAGCCTCTCAAGGGATGAAACAGTGGAGGTAGGAACAGGGTAGAGGATACTGCAACCAGAGCTCTTACGAAGATGTCCTCCCCATTCAACAGAAGGAAGATGTCAGCTTCTCCCTCCAGACAAGTCTTTCAAGCCAAGAAGCCACAGAACAGCAAAGACCGAGGTAGATATAGGCAGTTCCTGATAGGCCTGGCACATGCCCTGGCTTGGACACTATAAGCTTACTTGTGGCAGAATTTCTGTTGGCCTGGAACCAGAGAATTGGCAATTAGCTCTAACACCACTCCCCCCCAAATCAGCCCCCCCAGCCCCTTACCTCCTCACCCCACCTCCTTCCCACCTCCACTACCCCCCTACCCCTACCCCGCTATGCCACAACTGGCTTAGCTGTGGAGAGTTAGAACCTAGCCCTAATCCATCTTTTGTTTAGAAGATACCCATTGTTTTCTTATCACCCTATGTGAATCTTGTCAGGGAGTTTCCCAAGGCTACAAAGGTATGCAAAATTTGGTTCAGAAAACTGTGGCACCTGATGAATCAAGACTCTGCACAGGACATTGTATTTTTGGAAGCCTCATTCAAGTTGTTCTGAGCTTATGGCAATCAATCGGCTAAAGTGTAAATATTGAGAAAAATAAAAATGCCCTGGCTGTAGGGAAAGGCTTGAGTCTACTGAGGCTGGAAACCCCTGCTGCCTCCAAACAGCCAAGTTCATTCTTATAGTGTCTCTGAGCCTTCTTTTGACGGATCTGCATGAACCCATACCCACATCAAGACATCTGTTACAGTTATTCTGTCCCCTAGCTCACAACCACTGATATATTCCTTTTGGACCCTCCAATCTGTCCCTTACAGATAATCCCCGAGCAGTAATTAGAATACTCAGTAATTGACCATACTGTTTAATATCGTTACTCATCCATCTTTTAATCTGGCCCACATCTGTTGTATAGGTGGATGCAGGGCCACAGAATACTACCCTCTGTAGCCAAAAGGTAGGTGGAGCAGCATTTCAGTCTGAAATTTGGGATATTGGCTTTTGTAAAGATGCCATTCCTGAAACCTTGGGGCTTTAGCCCAGAGGGATCCACTTGGTGCCCAAGAGATGCAGGAAAGGAGCCAGAAGAGTGACAGCTTCCTTTGATGATGGGAGCTGGGGCAACATAGTGGATGTCTCCAACATAATGAATTTCCTTTTGAACTCCCTTTCACTGATCTCTGTAACACTTGTCAAAGTATCAAAGTAGGTGATGACATGATCTTTCCAAAAACCACATATACATGGCAAGGTTTAATCCATAGTTCAACACAGAAGAAATGGGCTTGGCATACCAGCCTGTTTGCAGAATCTGCAAGAGAGATGTGGTCTTGAGGGCCAGGGCAAGCCAGGGATGCCCCAGCTGAGTCTTCTCTGCTCTGCACTGCTGGGCTTCGAGCACTTTGCAGAGAGCCCCTTACTTCCCAGGGGAAATCCCCTCCACAATCCCTTTATACATCCATTTCTCCATCCTCCAAAATGAAAAACACAAAAACCTGCTGTATCAGTTACTTTTATATTACTGTAATAAAACACCATGACCAGAAACAACTTATAGAATGAAGGGTCAACTTGGACTTATAGTTCAGAAGAATAAGGACCCACCAAGGCTGAGCATGGCAATGAGCAGCAGATATGTCAACAGGAGCAGAAACTGAAGGCTCATATTATTGAACCACAAGCACAAAACAAAGAATGAACTGGAAACAGCACTAGTGTTTAAACTCTCAAAGCCCACCTCTGGTGACATACTTTCTCTAAGAGGCCACACCGCCTAAAAACCTCCCCAAATTGTGCCACCAACTGGGATGCAACTGTTCAAATACCCAGGTATATAGGAAACATTTGTTTTGTTTGGTTGGATGTTTTGTTTAGGTTTTTTAAGTTTTTTTTAGGTTTTTTTTTTTTTTTTTTTTTTTTTTTGGAGATTTTTGTTGTTTGAGACAGGGTTTCTATAAGGATTCAGGCATTATACTGGCCTGCCCCTGTCACCTAGCAGAATGCACTCAGGCAGTACTCTGGTCATCCCAGGGTTCCATGAGTACTAGTAGGCACTCAGGTGTAAAGGACCCCTTTAAACGACAGACCTTGCTCGCTTACACTCTCTTTGCTTTCTTTGTTCCTTGCTATCTTTTCCTGGATCTACACACACACACACACACACACACACACACACCCTTCTCTTCTGTTCCTGGTGTCTCTATGTCTCTTTTCCCTTCCCCTTCATTCCCCTTCTAAATAAACTTCTGCCTGGCGTGTTATTTCCTCTGCCTTCGGTCACCCTCACCTGCTATGGAACCCGCTATGCTCTCCTATGCTCTCCCACTCGGCCCCTTACCTTGGGACCCCCACTTGGGACACCACCCGCACCCTTTTATCCCTTCTTGACTTTTTTCCTACAACTGTTAAAAAAAAAAAAAAAAGGAACAACAGTTTCTCTGTGGAACAGTCCTGGTTGTCCTGGAACTCACTCTGTAGACCAGGCTGGCCTCGAACTCATAGAGATCCATCTGCCTCTGCCTACCGAATGCTGGGATTAAAGGCATGCACCACCACCCCCTGGCAACCAGGAGGTTTTTATTCTAACAAGAGGACATCTTTCATGAATTGAATCTCTCCTTCCACCATGTGGATCCCAGAGATCTAACACACAGAGCATCAGTCTTGGTAGCAAGCTCCTTTACCACACAGCCATTTTTCTTAAGCTATGCGATAGGCCAAACAGTAAGTCATGTAATGGAATCCTGTACTTTTCCTCCCTGGAATCCTTGTCCCCAGTGCAGTAGCTTAGGGGCCATAGACATTCAGTCATAAATCGACCCAATCTTCCAAATTACTCAGAAAAGCATAATGACTTTTCCTTTTCTTTTTTCTATCTCTTTTCTAAGCATGTTTTCCTGAATACTTTGGGCTTCCCACACAACCACACGTTTGGGCTTTCTCTAAATCCTCCTAGCCTGCTATGTGGCTGCTTGTCAGCCATGTATCTAACCTCCATGTCAGCATAAGTAGCATGGCTTTTTTCCTTCTCTCCTGCATCTTCCCCCTCTGAATAGCAGCTGTTAAGGTTTGCAGCTGGCCTGACATGGGGTTTTCCTTTAAACTCAAGTAAAAATGTCTTTGAGCTTCTATTTGAGTCTGTCCTCTCTCTCTCTCTCTCTCTCTCTCTCTCTATATATATATATATATATATATGTATATATATATATATATATATATCGTGTGTGTGTGTGTGTGTGTGTGTGTGTGTGTGTGTGTGTGTGTTTTCGAGACAGGGTTTCTCTGTGGCTTTGGAGGCTATCCTGGAACTAGCTCTGTAGACCAGAGCTGGTCTGAAACTCACAGAGATTTGCCTGCCTCTGCCTCCTGAGTGCTGGAATTAAAGGCTTGTGCCACCACCGCCGGGCTGAAAGGAGCCTCTTTCTGCAGCAGGTGAATGTGAGCAGTCTAGTAAAGAAGCCCAAAGGAAGCTCTGTGGGTGAAAAGGGGAAAGCCTATTCCAAACTACCATAAACAGAGAGCATGGGGTGGGGGTATATCACCAGGGTTGTGACGGAAGGGATACCTGGAAGGAAGGGAGCCTGGGAGCTGGGGTGAGGGGCTTTCAAGTGTATACCAGGTACTTGTGAGTAGGGAGGCTAAATGCTAGCATAGACCTTGAGAGACCCATAGGCACCACAGGCATAAGTTAAAGGAGGAGTGATAGGTCCCCTTTGCCCAAGATAAGGGTTCCTTTTAGTGGCAGGGTGGGTGGTGGCCCAAGCCTTTAATCCCAGCACTCAGGAGGCAGAGACAGGTAGATCTCTGTGAGTTCGATACCAGTCTGTTTACTGAGCAAGTTCCAGGACAGGCTCCAAAGCTTTAGAAAAACCCTGTCTCAAAAAAAAAAAAAAAAAAAAGTAGCAAGTAGATACTATCTTCTCAAGTTACTAAGGGAATGCTAACTAAATGCCAGACTTTGGGAAAAAGGATTTCTTGGGACCTGACAGAAGGAGGACATGGCAGAAAGAAGAGAATATCTTCTGGATGCATAGCCACTAATACATCAATTATTATAAAGCCTGCACCTAAGGGTCAAGTGAACAGCAAGGAACAGGGGCCGGAGCAGAGTTTCTAAGAGACAGAAGACCAAGCTGACTGCTGTGAAAGTATGCATTGTAACTATGGTGGAGAAGCTACACCCATGAACTCTCAACAACATGGCAGCCTAAAGATCTGTATAATTCCAACAATATAGATTGGGAAAGCTCATGAGACCCCACACCTAGATGAAGAGCTACAATCAATTAACAACTGCTGAAAAAGAGACTTAGTCTTCCCCAGGGATGAGCCTCAGCTGGACATAAGAAAGAAAGAAAGAAAGGAAGGAAGGAAGGAAGGAAGGAAGGAAGGAAGGAAGGAAGGGGAGAAGGAGGAAGGAGGAGGAGGAGAAGACAACTCCATGAATGTCTGGTTAAAGCAAGCAGTATTTAGAAATGACCAGCCAGCAGCCTCTCCCAAAGTCAGGATTTCAGAGAGAGCCCTTCACTGGCTTTTGGGGTCCCCTTTTATTGGGAAAGATTAGGGTTGATAGGAAACAGCTGTCGATCGTTGGCTATAAAAATAAGCCCAAGAATACACATAAGGAAGGGGAGCCACCAAGGTATCTGGGAAGACACACTTTTGTAAGGCAAAAGGCAATCACATAGGTTCAGGAGTTTAGCAAGGAAAAGGGGCCGGCATGCATCTACATAGTTTGAAAGGCAGGTTTTAGGATGCATTAGGCTTAGGAAACAGAAACTTACACTTGTAGGGTATGGATACTTAGTAACAATGTATGACAATGAGCCTCCTTAACAACAATGTGGCTCCTGTTTTAATTTCACACCTCCTATTGGTAATCTAGTACCAAGCGGTCAGCCCTAGGAAGGCAATGTGAGAGCCAAAGTTATATTTTAAGTTTTAATTACTATGCCTAAGAGATCCATGAAACAAAAATGCCTCGGATCTGCAAGCCCCTTGCCCAAGGACAGACAGTTCCTGAAATGCTGGAGGCTTTTGTTTATAGGAGATAACAAACCACAGGTTTTTCACTTCTCTAAACATGTTTGTTTGACCCATCTGCACCCAATGCATTTGATCACATATGCGTGGGAGGTTCAAGGGTAGAAATACATCAGGATGTATGCTTGCCTCTGATTTGGATCTGATGAGAAATGCAATGAATTATGGATTTTCCTTCCTAAGCCCTTGCAAAATTTG